ATTATTATTCCACCACCAACTATTTTTATTTATAAAAAAACTTTTCTTTGATTCTCCGAGTACATATTTTGTCACTTATTTAATAGTATTTTTTGCTTTATCTCGCATAGAATTAACTTCTTTATGAACATCCCAAATCTTAAAATCTTAAAGTTTACTAATAAAAATAATTTTATTTATATATTTTAGGTACCCCCATCTAATTTTATAAAAATATTTCATTATATTATTTATCTTACATTTTTTTATCTTAAAATCTAGAATTAATAATTGTTGTTGAGTACTTATATTTTCACTTGGAATGAACTTACAATATTTAAATTCTTGATGATCTCTTTTTCTCATAAGAAAATAATCAATTTGTCTTTTATTAGATTCATTTTTAGGAGTAATAATATACTTATCTATTTTCTTAAATAAAGCATTAGCAATAACTAAATTTTAAGCAAAAGCAAAATGAATATTTATAATATGATTCTATCTTCTTCATTTATTACTTCAAAACCATAGCCACAATGAATATTTCTAAAATTTTCTACAACTCTAGCAACATGTCCATTTAAATCTCCTCTAATAGTTTTTTTTCTTCAAAAAGTATCATTTGTATTAATTCTACTAGGTAATTCCAAAAAAAATTTTTGAACATATATCTAAACCTACTTGATGAGCATAAGCACTTGTAACATTAAAAATCTCAGTATCAATAACAATATTTTAGGTTATAAATGGTTATAAATCTATCTCCAGTCTATCTCCAGTTCTATTAATTTTTATAACATTATCTTTCAAAATCTTATCTATAATTACACCGACACAATTTCTAGGACGACTCTTACCTAGAATACCAATTTAGAACCCAAGCTATCAATCTCCTTAGCTTTTTCTCCAACACATTTAATTGCTTAAATGCATAAGATATTTATCTTCCTATAAACCATAATATCTACTAATTTCATTAATTTACTTGTGAGAGTACATATATTTCAATATCCTATCTTAATATTAGTTTCATGGACTCTTTTTGGTCTGTTTTTATCCATAATTTGAGAACTATTTGACACTACACCTGGGTGTCGATATAGCAGTCTTGCACACTTTTCAGTGTATTCAAGTCATACAGCGTGTCACTTTCAGAAGACGGCCTAGCATTTACGATATGATTTAAAAATTTTCTCATGATTTTTTCGACAAAAATTTTATGTTGATAGTTGACTACCTAACACAACCTTGCACTTTTCGCATCTAGGGATTGGGATCCGGCAATGACAGTATTTACGAGACATTATACTACAAATCCTCACAAGTAGCCGACAAACTTATTCATAAAATCTCAAGTATTATGCAAAGATCATCCTTTATGGCTTCTTCATGAACAAAGTTATGTCATTGGAATATGGATGGAAAGCACGCACCTCATAAATTATGCATCAAACATTTTCGAAAATCTCTATGAGTACTACCACAACTTATGATAATTTAATTAACACAAATGAATGAGTTTAAATGTGGACAAGGATGTGCAAGTGTCGCACAATTATCCAAAAGATAACAATGCTCATCTATGCATGTGGAAACCCATCAAGTTCATGGATTATTTGAAACATTCTTTAGAATAGGTAATGGCTAAGGAATTCTCTAGATTCATATAAATATTTCCATCACTTCACTAAAATATATATCCCCTCAAAATGCTTAATAACCTAATCCCATCAAAATGAACTTTGAGAAGGGCATATAAATCAAACTAAAGATAAAGTATAAGTTGCCTTTCCCCCATCCTCAACCCCCAAAATTATAGAATGAGGATGTTGGTAAAGCTCATGCGCTACTAAATCAGTAAAAAAATTCATTTGAATTATTGTTAAGTTGTTGCACGATTAGTCTTCAAAATAACAAAAAAAGAAAACTGCTTTCAAAAGAATAAATTTCTACCACTAGTAAAATGAGGGATACTAAAATGGTAACATATTTTGATCAGCTTGACTTCATTAAAAAAAAAAAGAAGTGAACTTTTTAAAGAGGGTTGTGAATGATTCATTGAATTTTGTCATAGTTCTTTTACAAAATTCTTATAGAAACTCAAATAATCAAGTAAAGCTGGGATGGATATTAAAATTGACCAGTTAATCATAGTCTGGGTTTTTACAAGATCAGTTGTCACTACTCAAAATAATATGCCTCCAATTCTCAACTTCCTGTTGAACGAAGCTGCACTTGGACTATTTCCAAAAAAAAGTTTTTCAAGTACCACAGTAAAAGTGAGGAAAATGCCTGTTAGATGTAGAGAACGAGAGGCGGTCTGTTACTAATCAATTAAAATAATGGCATAGACCCATAAATAAGAAGTTGGAATGGATGAAAAATTCATAGATATTCTTTGGAGAAGAATCTTAGTGATCAATTGATCAAAATAAAAGGTAGCACAATGGAGTTTCCTTGCTATAGATGTCTTCCTCAACTCAAATTTGTACTCTCTCCTCGCTAGACCCAAATAATAAAATTCAATATTCCTAATTTGATTGTATTGGAAATACAGCTATCTTGTTGTTTTTGGCCTCTAAAACATTTTATACAACCAATAGACAAGGATTAATGGTGCAGTACAACAAGCTACCCTTCCTCAAGTAATATAGATTAAATCCTGGAGCTTGGTTAACTTCTCAACTTAGGAATCCTAGATTTTGGCTCCCTCTTTTGTTCATTTTTGGCTTTGTTACCATCCGAAATCATATTGGCTTGATTTTGTAGTAATATTACATCTTCAAATTATCCCAAAACTAATAAGACACTAACTTCTTATCATTTTCTTGATTAAATCAGTAAAAACGTCTCTTTAAGCCTCTTCTTTATTAATAGAGGCTTCTTCACTTGTGGCAATTCTAGTCCATTACTCTTTTAGGGTACTTCAATGAAGTTTTGTTGTTGTAAATCTCTTCCGCTCTCTAATTTAGACTCTTTTTGTTGGCAGCCAAGCATTAAACTGAACCTTTTGTTTTTACTAGCATTAAAAAACAATTATCATATTGCTTATGAACTATGTTGGACAACAAATTGGAAAAAACCAAAAAAGATTGTTTCTAATGTGGGGCAACAAATTATACTTGTTAAATTTGAAATGGTTGAATACAATAAAATGGGTATCATTTTCTTCCTTGAAGCAGGACATGTCAAGCCTAAAAGCATCGGGCAATATCGGTAGCAGTTGTATAAAGCACCCAGTTACTTTAGATGCGACTAAAAAGATAGTATGACCTACTAGTAGCAAGACTATTAGTGAAAGAGGGCTGTCAGTAGTTATTTGATCCAGCAGAGAGAACAGGGAGCAATGGGAAAATAAAAAAAGAGACAACAAAGTGTTTTTGTGAGAATCAAAATTTTAAAAG